TTGCCATTTTAACACTGTTAGGATGTGGGACCTTTGAGAGGTGATCAGGCCACGAGGGCTCCACCCTCATGCAGTCTGGCCCACTCTTGCCCTCTCACTCTCTCTTTGCCCTTCCCTTCTTCTGCCATGTGAAGAACAGTTTTCCTCCCCTCTGAAGCATGCAGCACGCAAAGTGTTGTCTTGGAATCAGAATTGCCAAATCTGCTGGTACCTTGGACTTTCCAGCCTCCAGAACCATAAAAAATAAATTCCTATTCTTTATAAATTACCCATTATCAGGTATTCTGGTATACAATCAAAAATGGACTAACAACAGTTTTTGATACATTTATCTTGATTTACCAACTGATATAGCACAATCATTAAAAAACCAGATGTTCCACAGCAGTGCCATCCTACTTGAGAAAAAGAATTAAAATATGAGTTTTAAAAGCAAAAATTCTTCCACTTTGAGATGCTTGTATGGCTAAAAAGCCCCAGTAATGAAGGTTTTTCTGTTTTGAAACAAACCTGAACTGGAAACAGAAGACTCTTCCCCAATAATGTGGCACCAGCCCCAGTTCTAATCCCCACTGGAGTGCAGCCTTGTGGTAAGTCCCAACAGCCAGAGGCCTGCATGCCCTAGAGCTTCACCACACAGATCAGGCAAAGGCTGCCTCCTTACCATGCACTGCATTAATCACCAAATAATACCACACACTTTTTGAACTCTTATGTTTCAGGAGATGTTCTAACCACTTACACGTATACCTTCTTATTCAACCGTCACAAAAACCTGTGAGGCAGGCAATATCCCATTTTATAGATAATGCTATTATATGTTCATCCTCAGAATTTCTGGCTTGGGTAGAAGTTAATCACCCACGCATGCCTCTTTCCTTCCTAGTTTTAACCAACAGTATGAACACAATGAACTGATAACCAGACAGGGATCAAAATATTCACTGTCTTTATAGAGGCCTGATGACCTCAAATTACAGGGTCCCTGAAAGTACTGGATTAGAGAAAATAATTTGGAATTGAAGTCAAAACAAACAAGGCTTCCTATTACATCCTGCCAAATCTGAACCTGAGAACCAGGAGTGCACTGGATCTGTGCAGCAGACTCTTCATACACACCTCCAACCATCACAGGTGTGATGGACTGGGAGCTGTCACAAAGAGCCAGTCAACAGAAGAGAGCGTGGAAAGCACAGAAGAGAAATGGCTTTTAGAAGGCAGACTACAGACACTGAGCCAGGTCTGATTACTCCACAGCCCACTATCTCTTTCACAATCTGCCTAGGAGAGACAGAATCCTGTTTCTTGCTTTTAAACATAACTTTCAAATATAGCTGCCCACTGGAATCACTTGGAACGGTTTTAAAAACTGCAGTGACTGACCATAGCCCAGGCCAACTAAATCAGATTCTCTGGAATGAAAGCATTTGTTTAAGTTCTCCAGGAAATTCCAATGTGCAGCTTAGGCTAAGAGCCACCACTTGATAGGCTTGGCAACTCCAATCCCTCAAAATGCAACCAGTCATAACTAGCAGTTTCTGAGTGACTACTTTATGCTAAGCAATTTACATAATACCCATCACAACTCTAAGGGACATATGATAATCACAGCATTTCACAGATGGGAAAAGGGGTGTACAGAAAGGCTAAGAGACAAGAGACAGATCTGGGATTACGAAGTTAGTATTCTGTCTCCCAAGCTAAATATTTAACCACCATATACCATGCTACTCCTTGTGGATGCCCTGATTCCAGCAATGTCTCCAACCCTGATAATATATTCTTCTTTCATATAGAGAATCAAATAAGGCTCGGAGATACTACAAGAGTTGACTCCAATATTCCCTTCTAAAAGAGAGCATAAACTCCTTCCATGGACGTTAAGCAGGAAGAAAAAAGAATTCCAACAACTAACTTTTGTAGAGACTTGGAAAAATGTGTGGCAGGGTGTTAAAAGATCAATAAAGATGCTTAGAATTATAAAGCAGTTGAAGGCATACAGCATAATTTTTATAGAATCAACTTTGCAGTTCTGAACAGCCATCCTTGATATCTTAAGATTAAGAAAACTGGACAGCACAGTCCATGAAGGTAAGGCTAAGAATTGTGAAGGAAGGTGTCATGGGAAATTATAGGAGCAGGAGAACCAAACATGCTTGTGAACATACCATGACAATACAAGCTAAGGGGCAAAAAGATGAACAAAAGGCTAGAAGACTGGGAGGGGCTGAAAGGCTGCAGGACAGACAAGGTAAAGTTCACATCCTGAGACAGTAACAGTGGACATTATTTCATAACTCAGATATTTTAAAAGGTGTAGCAACAGAAAGAAAATTCGCTCAGTTCACATTTCTAAACCTTTGCAAATATGCAAAGTAATATAAATTGGATCTTGCTTTTATAAAAGTTTGCTGAAAACTGACAGAAGAGCAGAAGATCAAACACCACATGTTCTCACACATAGGCAGGTGTTGAACAATGAGAACACATGGACACAGGGAGGGGAGCACTACACACTGGGGTTAGTTGGGGGGAAATAGGGGAGGGACAGTGGGGGGTGGGGAGTTGGGGAGAGAGAGCAAGGGGGGAGATGCCAGATGTAGGTGATGGGGAGGAAGGCAGCAAATCACACTGCCACGTGTGTACCTATGCAACAATCTTGCATGTTCTTCACATGTACCCCAAAATCTAAAATGCAATAAGATAAATGGGAAAAAAAAAGTTTGCTGAAAGTATGTAAAGGTTTATATGTCAAATAATGTCTATTTGCATACATGTAATGCTAGTAACAGAAATTCTGGCACTGAAGAGGATGTAATGTCTCTATGGCAACTTCTTCTGGAGGGCAAATAATAATTCTGTTACTCTTTTACAACTGAGGATTTTCACATCATGAATTTGCGAGATGATGGCATATATCTGTAATTTGATCCCAGCGAAAAATGTCTTATTATGATGGGAGTATAAAAACACCTGATGAGCAACAGAAAAATAATTGAGATGTGTTTGTTTTTTCCTCGCCTTTCAAGGTATGAATCATTATTCCCTTTGAGAAGAGTGCTAAAAAGAGGACAAAAGACTCCACCCATCTGTGCCAGGACATGGCTGCATCAAGCTTGTGAAATGACAATTTGCATCCTCAGAGCAGCACCCATTAACTGCTCTTTTAGCTGCTAGAGAATTTCAGGAAGTTTTGCAATCAGGCAGGTCCAGTGGTTCATGCCTGTAATTCCCAGCACTTTGGGAGGCCAAGGTGGGTGGGTCACTTGAGGTCAGGAGTTCGAGACCAGCCTGGTCAACATGGTAAAATCCCATCTCTACTAAAAATACAGAAACTAGCTGGGCATGGTGGCGCACGCCTGTAATCCCAGCTACTCTGTAGGCTCAGGTAGAATTGCTTGAAACTGGGAGGTGGAGGTTGCAACGAGCAGAGACTGGGCCACTGCACTCCAGCCTGGGTGACAGAGTGAGACTCCATCTCAAACAAAAAAAAAAGAAAAAGAAAGTTTTGCAATCAGCAAAATTAGGTTAACAGGTTGTTTTCACTTTTAGTAAAAGTTTATATGAAGGCTAAGTATTAAAATGCCCTGATTATATATTTTAGTCAATTGAACATGACAGGATCTATAGGTTTTAACCATGCTAGTCTGCAATTTGGTGATGTTTCTGGAATGGAAAAACAAACTAAAGTGATGTTTTGTGGTCATCTCATTCTTCTCTATCATACGACTAAATGAATTCACCCAGGAGTAATTGTCAACCCTATCCTCTCCCTTAATGAACATCTGCATATATGCACAAACAAACACACCCCCCACTACAGCAGGTGAAATTTTAACACACTGCCATTAGATTATGAATTTGAAACTCTAGCGTAATATGGTACAGACAAAAGGCATACTTAGTGTTATCTGAACAAGTAAATTATTCCAGAATTCCTTTTTTTATTGTACCAAATTCTGGTGTTTTATGGCTATACTTAATAAATTTTGAAAAGAGTCTTTTGCTAGAAATCATAGAAGATATTTACCCACATAATTTAGTTAGGAGCTATAAAATTAAAAAGGTCTTTAAACACACTTCTTAAATTGCCATAAAATTCATTCTGAAAAATCTTAAATTTTTTTACTTTGGAGGTTGCTTTCAAAGATTAAATGAAAAGAGATTAATAGGATTTGCCTTGCCACTGATTTTATGTATTAGGTTGATAAAAAACGGTTGAATATATCAGTTTCATATGGTTCAACCTGATGAGAATCCGTTTCCCATTAAATGAAACAATATAGCACTATATATTCCAAAGAAGAGTCTTTGCAGGAAAGATGACCTCAGCTACCCTGCAACACGCTAAAAATACCAACTACAACACATAGCAGCAGAGGTTATGGTGATAGCTTCCCATGTAACTCTGGGGTAGTAAGAGGCAGAGACATTGTTTAAAATAACTGACCGATACAAAAATGTCATGCTCCCAAAAATTTCCATATCCTATTCCCAAAGGTGTTTTGTTTGTTCACTTAGCTTTTCTCTTTTCCATCTTCCACAGAAGGGGCTGAAGAGTAATGAATCTTTAAGAATTAAGATTAGATAGAAGCCTGAGTTAACCAGCCATTTCACGGGCAATAATTGGCTATAGAGTCATGCTGGCTTTGTTCTAAGTCAGAAGCTGACTTGATTGTTTAATATAGAACACAAACATCCACAGCCACTAAATGACTTCACAGAAAACTAGCCACATTAAGTATGACATGTAGACATCACAAAACTACTTTTGGGTACCTGGTTTAAAATTCTGAAAAATAAAAGAAAGATTTTATTTCTAATAGGGGGAAGGAGTTCCCCTTTTCCATAAGATAAAACAAGAGACCCAAACACAGGACATAAAGACAGCCCTGTACAGCAAGATTCACTTTCCACAGATAGCCACAGAGATTCCCCGCCACTTCTTTATCCTAAAGTGTTGAGATTCAAATCAATTCAAACACTCTACATACAATTCATTGAGTCCTTTTCATTTTCAATTTTATTTTTTAAAAAAAGACATTTAGGTTATGGTAAGAAATTATGAGGTTACTTTTTTTTAAAATCTGTCAATTGCTACAGTAGTGGAATAAATAAATAAGATTTTTTTAAAGTTCAATGTTTATAGACATACTTATAAAAATGACTGAATTAGAACACATTAAATAAAATTGATACACACCAGGAAGGGATTTAGGCAAGGAAAGGCACATCATATTACCACAAGAAATAAAGACCATAGTTGGAGGTTGATGGACAGCCAAACTTTAGATCTTGTGGTAGGTTTCCCAGCTCTGGAGGGTCATTACGGTGAACCGTTCTTTATGGTACTGGGCTAGAGTAACTAAATAGCAGTTGGGGAATGTTACTTTGTAACTGTAACATAAGTTAAAAAGAAAGCACACTTTCAATAACCCTGGTATGTGAAGAGGAAAGGAAAAACATCCCAAATGATTTGGTGGTACTAAAAATTTTATGGAGAGTTAAAAATAATAATGTTAATCCTTGTCTGGCTGAATTGGAATTCTTGCAGTTACAAAGTGAGAATTTCAAGTAAACATTGTATTTTTCACTTTTTGTAGACAGACACCAGTGCAGATATAAACAGCTGCCATATCTCACCTCAGATGAAGCTATGTGCCAATGCTTAGGGAAAATGATATTAGATAATTTCCCAATTTTATAATGCTTAAGTCTTGGAAAGCAGCACTAACACTGCTGGCTGACTGGCTATCTACAACAGCAAAGTGAACATGAAGTTTGGACAATGATGAGAGGTTTCCCAGAGAAATTATTAGAGAGTTTTCAGTTGAATAGATAGACACTTCAGTAAAACAAAAAAAACTAACAGACATTAGCAGAACTTGTTTGGGTCAAATTCCTCTGCCAATTATCTTTCATAAATGTGTGTCAAGTCTCTATCCATTTCTTTCTGTCTAGACCTATATTAGTTTATTTGAAAGATGGCATCACTTAAAGTAAACCACATAAATTTTAGTGGTATTAAGTGTGTATTTAGTGGTGTATGAGTATAAATAAAATAGATTTTCATAATAAAATGGTATATCCACAAATAAAATAAAAATTAAAAACAACTGAGAAGGAGGTGAGGAAAGTATCAGTATTATTTTAAAAAAATAAAATGGCAATTGTAAAGCAGGCAGTTTCTTGCTCATGCCACACGATACGCCTTCATTAAGGTGTACTCTTTCCGGTTGGTGTGAGCAGCCCAGATGAAGAGAGCAGAAGCCATGAACTGTAAGGGAGCTGAGACACAAGCCAGGCAGAAGGACCATCCAAATTCACCCGATACATTGTCAGGGAGCTCTAGTTTCTGGTGGAGTAGTTCAATTCCAGCAACGTAACAACTTACTGAGCCCAGTGTACACAGACCTTGAGGGAAAATTCAGGGGAAAAAAAAAAAAACATGGCTGGGTAAAAGCACAGTAAAGAGCTTTTCAGGCAGTGTGACAGGGCAGTTAATACATGAACCCTTAAGATTTGTAACTCTTTGGTCCCTAAGGAGACAGGGAGAAGCTAAAAGGTAAGTATGATGGCAAAACCTACCTGCAAGGAGATGGAGAATGCCCGTGGCGATGGTGGGATATAAGCTTCGGCAAATGCAAGCACAAAGTCCAATCAAAGCCCCGAAGCACATCAAACCTAAACTCACAAAAGGCAGAAGGAACTGGCAACGCCACAGATCTGATTTTTAAAAAGAAGAATAGAAATGTGACCATGATTTCAGACCATTTTCCCACAATGGCAATTTCTTTCAAGTTTTAATTAGCTCTTTTCTCAAAAAGTGAGAACTATTTTAACAATGAGGCATCCTTTCTAAAGTGTGTTATTCAAAAAGATGCTAACCTAATCCTGATAAAAGTGAAAGGACACTAACAGGTAGCGACTACAGAGGGTTTATTACATACCAGGAAATATCTGTCTACACATTTACTGTGTTAATCCTCCCAACAACCGTAAAAAGCAGGTACAGTCAGCCCTCCAAATCTGCAAGTTTTGCATCCACATATTCAACCAACCAAGGGTTAAAAATGTTCAGGAAAAAAAAAATTAAAATAATACAAATTTTAAAATATATAACAACTATTTACATAGCATTTATATTGTGTTCAGTATTAGAAGTAATCTAAAGATGATTTAAAATATATAGGAGGAAGCCAGGTGCAGTGGCTCACGCCTGTAATCCTAGCACTTTGGGAGGCTGAGTCAGGAGGATCATGAGGTCAGGAGTTCAAGACCAGCCTGGCCAACATGGTGAAACCTCGTCACTACTGAAAATACAAAAATTAGCCAGACATAGTGTGCGTGCCTGTAATCCCAGGTACTCAGGAGCCTGAAGCAGAATTGTTTGAATCTGGGAGGTGGAGGATCATGCCACTACACTCCAGCCTAGGCAACAAAGCGAGACTCCAGCTCAGAAAAAAAAAAAAAAAGTGTAAATAGCCTGTACAAAGTAACACAGTAAGTGGTAGAGCCAGGATTTGATACAAAAATCACTCCAACTCTACCTACCAACAATATTTAAGTCTTTATAGGATGTAAAAGCAGTAACAACAAGTATATTAATGGTAATTATAAATGACCTGTCTTATAGGGCTGTTGAAAGAATTACATAAAGCACAAAGCAGAGAATCTGAAATATATAAGAACTCAATAAAAGGTAGTTTTAATTATCATAAATCCTTCAACAACATGGGAAAACCTGATGACCTTATAAAACATGTGATTCCATTTTTAGATAATATTCATTATTAGAAATCTATTCATATCCACCTTGACCAAATTTACCTTTTACTGCTGGTTTCACTTTCTGGAACTTAAGTGTTTTTCTCACTTACTTCCCTTAAAACTCTAGTAATAAACTGCTTGCTATATATTCTTTTTATAAAACTAAATACCTACATCTTATTCAACCTTTTCTTTTACAACATCGTCATTCTTCTGGACAAGGGACGTCCCTATAGCCCTGAAAACTGAGGCTCAAATCTGATGACAGTATTTCATGGGCTGCCTGACCATCAACAAATAGACTTTTCCTAATAAATACTTTCATCTTTTTTGTCATCCACCCTTTTGTTACTACCTCCTAAGACTGGATAAACACTTTGGGCAGGCCTGACAACTCATTGACTCATTTAGGGCTTGCAGTCAAATTTTTTCACATACATCTATCTGAACTCAAGCAGTGGAAAGTGTTTAACTCAAATGCAGGAATTGTAAGTTATTCCAACTAAATTTCCTCTTATTAAATGGGCCCATTAATAATATCTTCTGAAGATCTAGACCCCATCACCCAATTAAGTAGTTGTCCCTGTCAACTTCAAATCATTTGAAATTTGGTAAGCATGTATCTACCTTGTAAAATATGTGATCAACAGAACAGAGTTCACTGGATACTGTTAGACATCTTATTTAAAAGTTGGCACAATCTACTAACTCATCTTGTTCCAAAAACAGAGTCCAAAAAAAGACAAATAAAATTATCATTGCTCCCCCAATCGTTCTGGTGAAGTCAAAGTACTCACAGGTCCTAAGTAGATCAATCCCGCTATTGTGGTTTCCGGGATCAACAAATTTCTCCATGAACTGCTCCGTCAGTGTGAAACTCACACATTTTGTGACCGCATCAAATGACTCTGGAACAAGAACAAGTGCCTGTTGTTTTCATCATAAACATTTAACACAAATCTCTTTCAGTAATTATTCTCCAAAGTAAAAAGTAAAAGACGTTTCCAGGGGGGTCAGCAACTCCTCTGGCCCTGATTGACACACAGGTTTCATAGGCGTCCAATGGATGCCACCGGTCCTCAGTAGCAGGCTGAAGACATAGGCACGAGGAAGAAAAATAAAGTGGAAGTAGTAAAATGAATGGCAGAATAGCTACATAGGAAGCCTAGGAAGAAGGGGAGGAAACACCGGAATAAATAGGAATGTCGATCTTCTTGCCTAACCCTGCTTTACCAGTCATATCGCCATCTCAGGGAATGGCAACTCCACATTTCTAGTTACTTGGACCGGAAACTTGAGAGTCATTTTTGTATATTTACACTCTATCAGGAAATCCTAGGAGTTCTTTCTTCAAACTATGTCCAGAAAGCAGCTGCTGCTCAGGGCTACAACTCTGGTGTGAGTCATAATCATCACTTAACCTGAATTACTTCTATAGCCTCCTAACCATAGTCTTCTAGCTTCCACCTTTGTCTGCTGCCTCTGTTCTCACAACAGCCTGGGTGACCAGATCATGGCTCACCACTGTACTTGGAGTCAACACCAAAGTTCTCGCTATGCCTAGAGTCTTCCAGGATTTGGCCCAGTACCACTCCCAAAGCAGGTCTTTGGCAGCATTCCCACCTTCCCGACTCTCCCTTCATTCCAGCCCAGTGGCTTCCTTACTGGTCCTTGAATATTTCAGGCATGCTCCTGCCACAGGGCCTTTGCAGCAGATGTCCTTTCCACCCTAAATGACTACCTCCCCATTTACCCATATAGCCAACTCTTTCATCTAGTCTTTACATTCTTTACTCAAGTGGTGTCTTCTCAATAGGACCTACCTTAAGTATCCTGCTGAAAATCATAACCTATGGCCCCCAGTACTCCTTTTCCCACATATTTCCAAATCCCTTTAGTGTTCTATTTTGCCATAGCACATGTCATCTTTTAATATACTATTTATTCTGTTTATACTGTTTTATTCTGTTTACTGCCTTTCATCCTTTATTAGAATGCTAGCTCCCCAGGAGTAACGATTTTGTTCTCTTTCCTGATGTCCTCCCAGCTAAGAGGCCGTGGAACATGAAGGCATGCAATAAATATTTGCTTAATGAATGGTCAAGTGATAACACTCCACTATCAACTCCAAAATCAATATCAAGTGCCCCTGTGACCTCATAAGTCAAACTGAACATTTTACAATGAATTTTTAACCAACTTTCTCCCCTTTCCTTTCAAATTACCTCTTTATTCAGATACAATGACATATCATCCTTTTGATATGTGGTAACTCAAGCTTGTTCTGCTATGATTTGAATACAATGCTCCCCCACTAATGGGCCAACAGAAGTAATTATAAATAAACTGTAAAGTTGTCCCTTACAAAGAGGTCTAAGGCTACCATTTTAATAACTGGAAATTAAAACCTTTAAGTGTTAAATAAGAATGCCTGCAAAATAAACCTGAAAAACTTAGCTGTGGTTTTTTTTACTTCTGTAATACAAATATCTTAACCTACAAACTCTGCATCAAGATTGTTGCAAAATAGTCTCATAATTAGACAGATTTAAATGTAGAGCTGGTGAAATTATATCCTCTAAGTCACAGGAGCAAATGATATATAGTATAATACAGCTAACTCATAAAAGAACAATTTGTTGAGTTGATTTTAGATGGTAGTCCTTTATTAGTTGCCAAATATTTTAAAAGTCTTTTGATGTACTTTTTCAACTATTTCTTTATGACATGTGTGAGATTAATAAAAAGTATCTAATGCACGAGTAAGTACAAAAATTTTAAACGGCTTTCTCAGGATAAGAAAAGTTCCTCATCCAGCCAATATTGATGAGTACCATGGTAATGCAGAGAAGGTGGGGAGAGAAGGTGGTAGGAAGAGAAGATACACCATGATTTATTCCCTTAAGGAGAGACAGAACCAACAAAGCTACTTACATTACATGTAATTGGGCAATCATTAGGTTGTTTTGTCTATTGTTAAACAGGTAAAGGAGAGAGAAGTTAAAATAAGAGAAATACCTGTCCTTTCTGGTGGGCTATACCAATGCATGTTTTTGGATATGGTGATACACCGTCTCCACAATCCCACTGTGCCATTGTATCGAAAAAGTGCATCATTGTAAGTCTTTTCATCTGCCTCATCACTAACGAATTCATCCCAGATGCTTTTATTCAAATCACTGGAATTTTCTTGAACTGGACTTCGATATTCATACCAGAAGTCTGTGCCAATGGAGGCTGCCATGTAGATGGTGGAAATGAGGCTAAGCACACAAGCAATAACAAACGCTGTAGCAAAACGGTTATCCATTCTGGCATTCAGACTGCTCTGTTTAAAAGTTGAAGGAAAAAAAGTTAGACTTTAAGGACAAATAAGAAAGATTATTTTGAATTATTCCAAAGGACCCTTCACCCGATTCCCCATGCCTTCGTACATAACCATTAAGAATTTTTTTTAGAAAGCAAGCACGTTTTTAATTAAGTTTAAAACAAAACGCATTCTCATAAAAGTACTTATTGAATGCTCACATACCCAGGATGCTACGGAGACAGAGGTCTTGTTCTCTAGTCTATCACCTGCATACTAAAACAGACAACACTGAAATGGACATACACATTACAGATACAAACAACACACATGCCCATGATCAGCAGTGTACCGTGCACACATTTTAAATTACAGACTGAATTTCTGCACAAGCTGCAGAGGATTAAGTGTTCTGGATTTGAGTGTTAAAAAGGCACAGGAAAAGGAAGCAGTGGAAATTGGCTTCTCCCAGTTTCCTCTGAAGAGGTAAGCCTCCTAAAAACAAAGGTAAGAGTCAGGAGCCATATGGAAAACAGAGTGGAAGATGTTTGTTAACCCCGAGGGAAAGGTTGTGTTAGGTGTATAAAATAGCAAAGAGAACAATAACATGTAATAATGCTAGATAGCAATCTCTCCCTAATCCATTAAAGCTAAGCCAAGCGTCTTGACGCTGCCAAATGCTTCACTGCTGTCTACTCTCCCTATTCCTTATACTTCTGAACCTCCTCAACCGAAACCTTGCTCTCTCCCTAAATCCTAAGTGCAATGTATATCCGCAAAAACTAAATGATCCCTCCTTAGCCCGGCAGAAAACTCTCAAAATATGAACCGTCCCAAGGCGTGGACGGGGCTCCGCGGCAGTAGTAAATGGCCGCAGCAAAACGACTCAAGGCGGATCGCGCTGAGTCAACTACTACGCGGCAAGTACACACCGTGACCGTACCCCACACCTGACGAAGGTGCACGAAAAACAGACTCGCCAACTGCGGTCGCTGAGTTTGGAAAACGGGAAGCGATTCGGGAAAGGCAAGGGCAGTGACAATAACGATAACTCAGAAAGTTGGGTTTGCATTTTGGTTTTTAGAAAATGCCCCCTTCGCCCTGGTGCTCTCCAATGACCGTAAAGGGTCCCAGCCTGGGAACGGCGGCGCGTCCCCGCCGGACGCCAGGCGCGGCCACCCCCCCGGGGCACGGCGGGGCCGGAGAGGCCGGGGCCGGGGCGGGGCGGGGCGGGGCGGCCGTGCGCAGCCCCCCGCCAGCGGCCCCAGGTACCAGACCAGGCCCCGCCCTAGAGGGCTCGGCCCAGGGACACCACCGCCGCCCGGAGCCCGCCCAGTCCCGACCACGCCCGGGAACGGGGCCCCTCCGCAAACCGCCGGGAACGTCGAACCGCGACGGACCCCCGCCCGGCCACGCGGGTCCCACTCACTCACCGCCCATCCTCCTGCACAGCCGGCTTCACCCTCTAGCTCAGACCACAGCACCCTACTCTCCCCGCGCCTCCTCTGACGCACTTCCCTGCAGAGCCCGCCCCCTCCATAACTCCCGCGCCTCCGCCTCCGCCCCCACCCCGGGCAGGGCCGCGGCCCGGGGGCCGAGGGGCCTTGTGGGAGTTGTAGGAGGGACAGCCTGAAAGCTGTCTGAGGCGGCGGTAGGCATTCCCGGCGCCGCTCGCGGTGCATTGTGGGAGATGTAGTTCAGCTCCGCGGGGCAAGCTGCTGCGCAGAAGGGAAGTCTAGGCTGTTGGATTCTTGCATTTTAGGGAGGAAGGGACGATGGTCCAGAAAGTAAAGCGGCCTGTTTCCGGTCACCTCTAGTCAATGACCGCGACCTGTAAAACTTAGGTCTGACTTAGTCCTGTGCTTTCCCTATCACACACTACCCTGCCTCTAGATCTAAGTATAAATGAGCGAAAATGCGATCCTACTTGTGAAACATTGACCCATTTTATTTCCCTCCCCCAGAATCCCTCGCACTGGAGCAGAGCGTCCTTCTGATTTTATTGCCTAAGTTTAGGCTAAGAAGTATGTGACCTGTAGACAGTATCCATCAAGAATGTAATGACATTATTTGGGTTTCATAAAATGTGTGTTTGTAGCTGCCTTCTTTTCATGACAAGTGATACTAGTTTTTTATTGTAGTAATGTTCCTTTTTAAATTTTTTTCATTTAATTTTTAAAATATTAATACTGAGGACACCTGATATGTCAAAAATGAATTAAAAAATTGTGGGTATAGTAGGAAAAAGACTGAAATTTGGAGAACATCACTCAACCAGAGAAGGTCATGGACAGCCTTGGAGGTTGCAGATGATGTGTGGCACAGAGGCAACAGTGAATCTGAGCCCTCAGGTTTGACACACAAGAAATTCATGGACAGGCGCATCTTAGCAGTAACATGTGTGGAATTATTAACGTGGTGGCCTGGGACCAGCAAATGGTGGATTTCTCAATAGTAACCTACAGGGAAAACTGACTCAAGGACAGAAGTTTCAAACCCTCACTCTGTCCCCTAATGCTTTGTAATTTAGCACAGGAGAAAGATGGGAGCTTCAAGCTGATATTGAATTTCTACCACTTTGACAGATTAAAGGCATGATATGTTTCTCTGTCTGTAGTTACGTTTCTTTCACCTGAGTGGGTGAACTGGTATTCATATACAGCACATAATAAGGTAGCCAAATATAATATTCAAACATGACTCTGGATTTTCACATATAGCATGTAATAAAAAAATTTTTGTCAGAGGCACCAACTAGAGAAAGTGGTGGAGGAGCGCAGGCAAATTGTCAATGTAAGACTCATAAATGCATTTATACACCAGGAAATGCATCCATCGGCCTTCACTAGAAATCCCCTACTTTCAGATTTAACTCTCCACTGAGATCATGTGGTCAGTAAACCAGGCAAAAGAGAAGTTTAAAGGAGAGAAAAGAAGGAACAACTTCAGTCTATAGATAAAGGAACTAAAGAGAGTAATTGACATGGTAGCAAACTTGGTATTAGAGTAACTGACTATCATGGTAACACACTTGAATATACTCATTTTATGACTTTGGAGAATTAACCTTCTTTAAGTCTTGGTTGTCTTTTTTCCAAAATATGGATGTTGACCGTAGCATCTATTCCACATGATCATTGTGAGGATTAAGTGAGAAAGTACATATAAAATGCCCAGCACAGAACCCGGCACTTAGGAAAGAATCATTAAATTACTAGTATTTGCAAATATTCATTGAATATATATAATATTTCAGTAAGCGTAGTGAAAACAGCTTTTTGGTGGATTTTTGGTATTCTAATACAGTTCAAATCAGTGTGGCTAGTTCATTTCAGCTCCTTCACTGCCAAACCAAGGGGCAGGGACTGCTTCAGTTTCTCTGCCTTCTCTTTGTCAGTGTTGACCAGGATATAAAGATATCTGCTGCATCGAACTTTAAATTTCACACTGTCCTTTTTTTCTTGATCTTGACAGATTTGGCATCCTTTGGTCGGGCTGTGAGCAAAAGTTCATGATTTCCTCAATTTTCGGAGGCATGACAACAAGGCACACAGGGAACAGGGGCAGACCAGGGAAACAAGTGGGAAAAAGACAAACAGCTTGTAAAGCTCCTGGATTAACCCTAGAGGTTACCCCAAAATGGAGATAATCCACTTATAGAGATAGGTGTTCCTGCCCGCTTCAGCAGGATTAAGAAATTCTGGACTAACCACCAAATGACTAGGAGAGATTTGCCAGGACTATATTTTGGGCATCTTTCTTTAGCCCTGCTCAGGAGATTCCCAGGCCTGGGATCCTATCATATATACAAGTCGTCATGACTCAGGAATACACCAGGAAATGTTTCTGGGAGGGCCTGAAAAGGAGGATGACGCTTGCACCCTTCAAGTCTTCAGAATGCCTAGAAAACACTCAGGGCACATTTCACTGACCAACCTAGCGTGAACCTGGAGGTGTCTGCATGTTTGTGGTTTTGATCATCCTGAGAAAGGACCTGAACGGACTCATCACACCCAGTTTCACCAACCACACACCGTATTTCTGGCTTATCTCTCCATCTTTGGTGTTTCCTAATTTCTATTTGTGCTTGCTTGTTGTATGAGTAGGTAAAATAAATCCTTAATAAATTAATAGAGCTAAATTTCTACCTCTGTTTTTACTCTGCTATTTGAGAAATGGTAGCTGGCCTCACATTTTCACAAATATAAAAGATGATTTTGTGCAACCACGTAGAAATTATGAAATTTAGGTTTAAAAGCAAAGTTGAATGAGGCATCCAGTTTAACTTGTTAAAGATGGTTCTAGTTTCAACAGGAAGGCAAATTATAGTTACAGCACATTTAAAATTAACCCAATAACTGAAAATCTAGATACTCAGATGTTACAACTTGTTTGTGTTATGTACTTATGAAACAATTCTTCACACTAGAATTTCCATCAATATCAAATTCCCCAATACATTTAATATTATTTTAATTGCATATTTTTAGGAATTATAAGTTATATCTACATTATAAGATATATCTACATTATGTTTTTCTAATGTAATTTTGCCCTGGTGGTTTTTCTTATGAACTTTGGAGTTCAGAAAGGAAGAAAATGGAAATATGTACAAGTTCTGGGTTCCAACCAAAAACTATTCTTAAAAATGTACCTATCTTTGAATTTCCTTGCACCTATTCACTGTAAAACAATAACAGAACTTGATCAAGATCAAGGCAAATAAAAAATACATCTAAAATGTCTCCTTTTTTTTTTAGCAATTCCTGTAAAGTGCCACATATAGTAAAAACTATAATTTTCAGATGCCCATGCTTCTGAAAGACAGTGCATGAGCCATATGTAAATGAAAACTTTGTTTAAATTATCCTTTATTTAAAAATTATCAGTGGATCTAATGACCCCTTTCTGGACCCCAGGGTTCTCATTAGTAAAATAGTTGTCCTAATGATCATTAATATCACTGGAAGCTATAAAATTTTACAATTTATAATTCTATTGGAAGAATAATTCAACTACAAAATATGGTTTTTCGTAGATCCACAGCATAGCGTTTCATTGCAGAATTTTTATATCTTACACCTCAAGCCAAGGAAATATATTAGAAACAGAGATAGTGGCAAATGTAGACTGCAAAGAAAAAGGAGGAATGCCATGTGCATTCTGATTAGAAAAGATACTGAAAAACAGCCCTTGCTGTTTCAAAGATTAGCAGTAATCATTAGGAAGGCTAAAATTATGGAAGAAAAACTTTTTTATTTCTTCTAAGTGACACTTATTAGTACAGAGTTATGGGTATGAATTGTGGGCCTCCCAAAAATATCTTTTCAAAAAGTAATCTTTATTGCTGATAAGAAACTGATATCAATTAATTTAATTATTAATAAACTTAAAAAAGAGTCTTCATTGAGAGTCCTCTTCTCATCACTATCCATCATAATTATTATGAGGCCATGACAGTGATATTTTTCACATTTATTTGTTTTCAAGTTGCTTCTGATTCAACCAGATGTGCTAAGTGAAAACATTAGCATAAGTTGACAAAAAATATGCTGCATTAACTTAGAAACATCTTTTCATATTAGTTTATGATGTGACAAAGATCCCAGGATGGAATAGAAAGTGAAAGCTGTCTAAGAAGTTTGTGAAAAGTCCCTATTCCTTGGAAATAACTGACAATTCAAGCATGATTCATCCCAGATCTACAATCAATTGTTGACCATCTATTACTTGCCACTCTGCTGGATGCCAAGGACACCAACATAAATAAACTCAATTTTTGTTACGCACAACCTAAATTCATATTAAATCTACTATTATGAAGAAAACTAAAGCATATATTGCTAGAATAGTAACATCATTTCTATCTATGCAAGTATTAGTTACCAAGGAAAATAACCTAGTAAATTAAGTGGGGGGCCCTCATAAAAGGGAATATATGCCACTTGATTTGGCATGATGTGATATTACATTATATGGTACTAAATTCTCCAAGTAACTGAGAATTTAAAAATAATAATAAACTCCTAGAGTATAAACAATATAATCAGTTTTCTTAAACTGAACTCTTTGACTTTACACTTTGCGATACTCTTAAGAAATGGACAAGAGAATGTATCTAACAAGTGAATATATAATGACACTTTAATTGATAAGATTAATGAGAAATAATTAGTTGCTTCATGCTCTTTGCCATTTATTCTGGGACATATCAGCAGAGCATGTGTGAATCAAAGGCTACTTATCCAGGGATTTCTTTCTTCTGTGCTATATACATGTAATCTGATCTCCACCTGATGTGCTTGACGGGGAAGAGGCCAAAGTAATGGTATCATAAGTCCAATAAGCCTCACTGGGATGGCTCTGTTATTAAATCTTCAGCCTGCCTGTGAAGCAGAGGCTGCAATCAACAGCAAGTAATAATGGATTCACTTGAGCAGGCATTTCAGTAGAGAAAACCTTTCTCTGTCCTCAACGCCTGAGCCAGTTCTGAACATAACTCAGGGATTGGAACATAGAATAAGTAAGGCCTACAAATCTAAATTAATTCCCAAAATTTTGTGATATCCAGACCAAAATACTTCCACAAATTTCCAATTTTGAGGATTACTTTTAGGTCTTTTTAAAAAATTAGTCAAAATAATAACAAATAATAACAGAACAATAACAAAGCATAACATATAAGGTTGGTTAACTTATGTTAATTAGAACAGTGATTCTGAACTTTAGTCCATTTAGAATCACCTTGGATACTTGTTAAATATAAAGTCCTAGACTTCTTCCCTGGCGATTCTGACTGAATACATCTAGGGCAGAGTTTGGCAATCTACAGTTTAGCAGGTGTTCCTGCTGACTCTAATCTGGGTAATACGATCTGGCATCCACAGGTTCAAAACAATGGTTTTAAGAGCCCAAAAAGAACTTTAGTTGGGTAACTTCTGTATGCCAGAGGCCAGTCCAGAGACAACGAATAGTTACTCATTATCAGCTCCAGGGGTCAGATACAAAGACAACTAACAGAGTGAAATGAGACAAGTACTTTGTAAGCAGTATTTTTAAAGTTTTTAGGAAATGGAAGAAGTAGTTATTTCTGCCAGGAGTCGGGTAGGAAAGTTGAGCGTTATTTTCTGAGAAAAAAAATTCTAAAGAGGTAGCATATACGCTCTCATTCAGTTACCAATATTTATATCTTATTCTTTTTTTTTTGACATCACTCTGTTTACACAGACTTTTCATATGCTTATGGAAGTCAGTGTTGCTTTTGAGTTTTGATCTATGTGTAGGTGTCTATTTTATTGTTAGTATCTGCATGTTTATTTTAAAGAACACTCAAAGTCCTAAAATTGACTGTTGTACCAGCTTATTTACAACCCCACTTTAGCCAGCTTTATTGTGGATTCTGTCTTACACCAGCATTGTACTCCGAGATATAAAAAGACTGCCCTATGCTATGTGTCTGTTTTTGGCTTAAAACATTCCATTTGTTTTCTGATTTGGGTACCAAGATATTGTTGATCCACAATGGATATTCTCACATTATAGCTTTCTACCATTAAATATCATACTTCAAAGTGGCCATATATGATAAAGCAAACTACTTTATCTACAACGGCTTCAATAGTTTGCTGAGGAAATCAGATTTGAGATAGTTTACATCAGCAAGCCAGCAACTTTTGAAACTTGAAAAAAAAAATGTAAGGGATACAGAATGAATGTGCAGCCAAATATTTCCCTCTACAGTATGAGCATGAACCCTTTTTCCATTTTATAATACCTTTATGTTGAATTCTTGAGACATATCAAAAAAATTTTTTTAAAAAAATAAAAATACCCTAGACCCAGAATCAACCATATTTTCTCAAATGCCAAAAGAACTTATGGCTGCAGGGTACTACATTCTAATATTAAAATTACAGTACACTTAAACTGTAGTTTTAATTATGATTTTACTAATATATATGATTAGTACTTTAACACACATGCAAACAGATATAGATGATGTGTTTAAATATTCTATATTACTTCATTAATCCTTTTCAAGTAAATATTGTCTTACTTCAAATTTTTTACAAAATGAATTATTCTATTAAATAATTAAACCTTACCCAGTGGGAAAGGTTTCTGCCCCAGAAATGTCAAAGCAGTTAATTAGTTTCTCTGATCTGTAGTCTATATTTAGTAAGGAATATGCCCTCCATGAAATTAAACGAATTGCACACAGCAGCCAGGGCCACAAGAAAAGGCAGGCTCAGGCCCATAAATCAACTCCAGAGTGACTTCTGGGACTGTCCCAGGTCAGAGGAGCCTTCATCCTTCCCTGACCTCAGCTCACTTGCCTAAGACTGAGGTGACACTAAGCCATATCAGGAGAAAAAGAAAAGGAGGAAATACAGCCGGCAGGATGATTCTTTTTAATATACCAATTACCAAAGAAATGAAAATTCAGCAGGGCCAGGCTTGGTGGCCCACACCTGTAATCCCAGCATTCTGGGAAGCCATGACAGACAGACTGCTTGAGCTCAGGAGTTCCCGACCAGCCTGGGCAACATGGCAAAACTCTGTTCCTACAAAACATGCAAAAATTAGTCAGGCATGGTGGTGCATGCCTGTAGTCTTAGCTACTCAGGAGGCTGAGGTGGGAGGATTGCATGAGCCTGGCAGTGAGCTGTGTTTGAGCCACTGCACTCTAGCCTGGGTGACAGTGAGACCCTGTCTCAAAAATTAAAAAAAAAAAGCTTAAGAAAGACCTTCAACTGTTTAATGACTGTATTTTCATCTACAAGCATACATTTTTCTATGAATACAATATCAACCTGAAACTGGAATTCTGAAGATTAAATCAGATTAATTTAATGTCAGCCCATGTATCTTTCACATTAAGAGAAACTTCAAATATTGAACATCTCCCTGTAACCTAATTAGAAGCTAAAATACAGTTTTTGGTTTTCTAAATTGGCTAACGTTAATTTTTCTTAAACTGTTATTAAATAAAAATATTTCCTTACATAAGTATTCTTCTGTATTAATTTCTAACAACATATTAATACTAATTCTAATAACCTTTTAGTAAATTATTGTGGTTATAGAAAAAAGGAGAATACCAGAGAGCCTTGAGTCACTTTGGCCAGTAAAGAGCCAAAATAAATTTCAAAATGTGTTATATTTTACTATGGTCATCATAATATAAAAGGAAAGATACGGGAGAAAAATGTGACAGAATTCTGTCTGTTTTAGCCTGTTCCCCAAGTGTTTTGAATGTACCAAAAGATCTTCCCTTTTATAGGTAGATTCATAATGGATCTCTGCTGGCAGCTCCATTATGATGTCACTTATAGGTGTATCTGTTGCCAGATTAGCAATTCCAAAAGTGATGTTCACTCATGTGTGGAGGTACCAGAGAGCCATGGCTCAAAAGCTAAAACAATCACTGCTCCACAGGTGTGATATATGAAGGGAAGATCAGAGGGGATCCAGAGTCTGATGATGCATATTTGAGGGTCAGTAGGAAAAAAATCTCCTAATCAATGATATTAACTCTTAACAAAAGGGAACTTCACTGGTTGAATTACAATAGCAGGTCAGAGGATAAAAATAGCAATGTGAGGTTTTTTAACCTGTGTTTGTAAGTTACATAAGTAGCAACAATACCTGAAGTTAGACCTCAATTAATTCATTCCTGCTAGGGATAACAAAAAGAATTTTCTGAATCAACCCTAATAAACGACCATTTCCAAAGCACCAACTATGTGCAAGATGCTATGCTAGTTGTAGTGAAAAATGTAAAGTAACAATAATCAGAGCACAAAACGTGGTCTCAGCCTTCGGGGGATTTTTTAAAACTTATGAGACAGGATTGATTATGTGTGAAATGAAAGAGCTAACTAGATGGGGAGACTCTCATGCCGTAATTGGAAGCATGTTGTTGGACCTAGTTGTAGGCTGGTATGATTTGGGAAACTTTTCATTCACTCTTTATGCAAAGAAAGACTAGTTTTCTTCGTGTTTCGCTAACAAAGTAAATAAAGAGCATATTTTCATCCTCATTGCCTTACAGTTTTAAAAGTAGAACGGTAGCTTATATGTGAAACAGAAGACTAGATCAAAATAAATTTCAGTGTCAAAAGTAGAAAGGCCTTTAAACGAGGTGAAAAAATCAAGTTATTTCATTTCTTAATTACTGGCCTTAAAGAAATAAATTGAATATCTTGAGAAAAGGAACTCAAAAAGCACCTTAGTTTCACGGGCAAATGCAAACAAAAAAACCACAACCACAACCAACCAACACCAATCAGAGTGGTGCTCCTTGTGGGCCCTTTCTGAGCATTGGTAGAAACTGCATTTTTTAATCTCGGCTTTCATGTTTGTCCAAGATCTTTAAAGGGAGGAGAAAAGAGAGAGAGAGGCAGGCGCCGTATAAAAGAAGCACCCTCGAGGTTTCTAAAATTTATACCAAAACTTCATAGGTGAGGACGCTCAGCAGATCTGACATTTGCTCTTTGGTGATGGACCCAGAAGAGACTTCAGGTTACCTGGATTATTACTATGCCACCAGCGCCAACCCTGACATGAAGGAGCCCCGCCCCCGTGTTCCTCACGCGTCCGCCTTCCTTCCAGTCTTCTACTCCGCAGTGTTCCTGGCCGGAGTGCTGGGGAACCTTGCGCTCATGGCAGCGCTGCACTTCAAACCCGGCAGCAGGCGGCTGATCGACGTCTTCATCATCAACATGGCCGCGTCCGACTTCATCTTCCTTGCCACGCTGCCCCTCTGGGTGGACAAAGAAGCATCCCGAGGGCTGTGGAGGACGGGCTCCTTCCTGTGCAAAGGCAGCTCCTACGTGATCTCCGTGAACATGCACTGCAGCGTCTTCCTGCTGGCGTGCATGAGCGCGGACCGCTGCCTGGCCATTGTGTGGCCGGCGCTGTCCAGGAGGCTCCGGCGGAGGGACGGCGCCCGTGCGGCCTGCGCCGGCGCCTGGCTGCTCTCCGGCCTGCTGGGCTTGCCCACCCTTCTGTCCAGGGAGCTCACGCTGCTCGGCGGTAAGCCATACTGTGCGGAGAAAAAGGCAACGCCAGGGAAACTCACGTGGTCGCTGGTGGCCTTGATTTTCACCTTCTTCGTCCCGTTGTTGAGCATTGTGACCTGCTACTGTTGCATTGCGAGGAAGCTGTGCGCCCATTACCAGCAGTCAGGAAAGCATAACAAAAAGCTGAAGAAGTCCATCAAGATCATCTGCATCGTCGTGGCGGCCTTTCTCGTCTCCTGGCTGCCCTTCAATACCTTCAAGCTCCTGGCCATTGTCTCTGGGCTGCAGCGAGAACGCTATCCTCCCTCAGCCATTCTGCAGTTTGGCATGGAGGTGACTGGGCCCTTGGCGTTTGCCAACAGCTGTGTCAACCCCTTCATTTACTATGTCTTCGACAGCTATATCCGCCGGGCGATCGTGCACTGCCTGTGCCCTTGCCTGAAAAACCACGACTTTGGGAGTAGCACTGAGACATCAGATAGTCATCTCTCTAGGGCTCTCTCCACCTTCATTCATGCGGAAGATTTTACCAGGAGGAGGAAGAGATCTGTGTCACTCTAAAGGGAACTGTGACATTTCCAGCTCTGTCATGGGTTAAGCAGTTAATTTTTGTCAGCCACAAAGAAAGAAGTGTTAATGATAGGATTCACATTGCTTCGTAGATGCAAGGAAGACTTAATTTTTAAAGCAAGGAGCATGAAAAGTCTCCATGTTGTGGTTATAATTAGGCATGTGCTGTTTTCTCAGCTGAGCAGCCTTCTTCAACCCTTGCCAATCAAGTCCACCAGACAAAATCCAACTCCCATCTGTCCTTAAACTCTTGGATAAAGGCTCCAGCTTGAACCAGTCCCTTTCTTCATGATTGTTAATGGGCATTTGGGCCTTTCCTCTCTGAAGAACCTTGGTACCTTCAATCCTACCATCCTTCAGACTGAGCTCTAAATTGGACTACATTTAAATGATTCTGCCTACTTTCATCTGATGAGAAATGCAGTAACAATGCAGGTAACAACAATATAATATACCTGCACTCTGTAATTAATTGTTTCTGAGTTACTAACCTAGATTCTGACCTCAATCTTTAAAGCTGTATATAGTGATTCTTCATCATCTTCCAACATTGTGCTTCATCCTATGCTTATTCATAATGACTTTGGACCGGCAGAAAAAAAAACTCATGGGGATTTTGTATAGTGTATGTGATTTCGGACTTCCTTTATCATGCAGTCTTCTAGTATTTTAACACGTAAGCATATGGCAAGATTTGACCTCTGTTTGCTTTATAAGATATTGATAGAAATGTGTCCCATTCATAATGGTGTAGTAACTATTTTTTAATGGGGTTTTACTATGCTCTTTTGTTTTCATTGCCTTTATAAATTAGGATTTGACTTTGCTTTAATTACATGTTTTTAATTACCCAGTTATCTAGTTATCACATGAAAATGTTGTTACTAATATAATTGGAACTCATCAAATGCTTAGCTCTACCCCCGTGCAGATTATCATTTTGTATTTTAATTAAAATGTTGGTGCTACACATTCCCTATACCATCATTTGCTTGGTGCATATAATTTCAAGATAAGATCCAGACTGCTCTGTATTCAGCGGAAGTAGAAAATCTCTAACAAAGATGTCATTAGTATTTTATATACGTTTTTTCCATACCCAGAAACCTTCTTGAATTCCTTTACCCAATAAATATTTATTGAGTCAATTTGTACCTATATTCTTTTTGAAGACTTTGATGTGAAAAACATGTAATTAATGGCAACCACAAAGACTCGGCAGCAGCAAGCATGCTATTGTAAACATCTTTGATTCAAGAGAAAGAGGGTTATGTGTTTACCTCCACTGTTGACTTGAATGAATTAACATCTTACTTCTAAATATTAGGTTTGAAAATCAAAAAAAGCTTAGAATTCTTTCAAAGACTAGCCAATTTAATTTCATCCCATGTATCTTTCACATTAAGAGAAACTTCAAATATTGAACATCTCCCTGTAACCTAATTAGAAGCTGAAAATACAGATTTTGGTTTTATAAATTGGCTAACTTGTTAATTTTTCTTAAACTGTTATTAAATAAAAATATAATTTCCTTACATGTGTATTCTTCTGTATTAATTTCTAACAGCATATTAATATTAATACTAATTCTAGTAAGCTTTTAGTAAATTATTATGGTTGTAGAAAAAAAAGACCAGGTAAATAATAACAAACACATCTTCTTGGAAAACTTCAAAACTAAATTCAGTGCAATTGAATAGAGCTCCCAAAGGTAAACAGAAACAAAATATATAAGGTAGAAGACACACATTTCTTTAAAACAAATCAGCAAAAAACATTGTTACTAATTATGAAAGGTACTGCCTTTGAAAAATACTACCTTTAAAAATAGCTGAATCAATCAGCTAAGTTATTTGTTTGGAAAGAAGAAAATCTGTGCTATTAATTTTAGCTTCATCCTTAATGTTGTGATATTGGTAAGGTCATTTTAATCTTTCATACCTAAATGTAGTTGGTAATATCTATGTCTTGGGAATTATCAAGGATACTGTAAAAATAATAAAGTGTTTTTAAATGTTGAGTAAAAAGTTACTATAAAAGTAATTAGATTTCTATTAATTATTGAATACTCCTTACAAATTTTCAAACTAACATCAAATAATACTTAATCATTCTTATTTTTAAAATATTGAGATTTTATTTCTACTTCATCACTTTAATTTTTGCTGAGAATATTTAAAATAACACCAAATAGAAACATGTATTATTGGTTTTATTAATACTTTAAATAGATACAGTAACTATAGGCTTTAATAAAATCTTAGCATATTTTCTATTTATAATGTACCAGTTGTGAAAGGAAAAAAAAGACATAATTTTATAGGCAGTATAACTCTAAAGAAAAAAGTTCACACCTTGATTAAGTTCATATGTTATTTTGTCATCTACGGATTCTGCTGGTATGAAATGTAATTTATATTATAATAGCATTAAAAGGTTTATTACAAATTATTTAGTTGTCTGGCATTTTGCATATTTTTAAAACCATATTTCTTCATTTTTAATTTGAACAATTTCTATACATATATAGATACTCTACATATACATACAGATATACATAGAAACACAGACTCCTATTTATAACTTTTCATGATTTTTATTATCTGAATTAAACTAGACTAAATGCTAATTTGCGATAATTTAATGTCATTAAAGAACACATGAATACATTGCCAAGAATTTCCAGAAAATTACTCTTTCATCCTAACACAATCATGCCTTGCAGGTTATATTCGAAGTTAGGAAAATAAAATAAAATTTTAACGATTCAGAGTAAATACCTAAGGAAATCACTAGGAATTAACATTATTTGTTGTCATTTGCATAAGTAGTCCAAAACTACTGCCAGGTTGCAAATGACAAATATGAAAGGATAGTGATCTCTCAAGCATTTCTCAAATAACTTTTTTAAACTTACCCCAGAAAAGTTCTCCATTAAATCCCAAGTAATGTGTTGTCGCATAACTTATAATTAATTTTAAAAGAGATGCACTCAAGGCATGCAGAGTTGCAAACATAGTTGCAAACACATTTACTCCATTTGGGCTCTATTGAAATGTTGAAACTAACCCGATATTCCTCGGAGTCCCTTAACCTGTCCACTCTGAGCAAGTCAAAATCACTTCTGTGGTGAAAAGTTAGAGCAACGGTCTTAAAGGGAAGCTATGTGCGTGACTGAGAATAGACTATTACTAGGGGTCACAAGTTAATTTTTAAATAGATGCAGAAATGCACAGTATGATGGTAAGGTGAGTGGAAAAAAGATCTTCCTCTGTGATTCATCTTGACTCCTCAAATCACTCTCTATTCGACCTAGCAATATCAGAAGTAAGAAATAACTTGTCAAATGTGCGTGCCACAAAGAACCTCAGTTTTCCTGCAGAGCTCATTCATAAAAGCCAAGCAAAACTAAAAGAATTACAAATTTGCCTCGAAAATCAGACCACTGGTTTAACCTGCTAGCAAGATAATGGCTCCAGCCCCCTTAGAGAAAGAGGTGCCATCGGAGAAAAAGCAAGAGGGTAATTTTAACTACCAAAATATTTGCAAACAGTTCCTGACTACTGCGAGTTCCTTTTGTCTTTCACGAAGTTTGATGTGGATTGGATTTTCCCCTGCAAATGCCTGTCATTATGTAAAGTTTGTTTTGTTTTTTTTTTTTTTTTTGAGCCAACATTCTTTGTTGTTATCAGCTTGATTTTATATCGCAGATGTAAAAATCCATCCTAGAGTGAGTTACACTCATTGGTTATTGCTATCTTTGTCATTTCCTTAATAGAGCTATATTTCCTAAACATATATGATAAGTGGAAATTGCATGCTAAGATAAACCCACAGCATTAAAAACAAAATGGCTCACATCTGTAATCCCGGCACTTTGGGGGGCCGAGGCTGGTGGATCATGAGGTCAAGAGATGGAGACCATCCTGGCCAACATGGTGAAACCCCGTCTTTACTAAAATACAAAAAAGAAAATTAGCTGGGCATGGTGGCGCGCACCTGTAGTCCCAGCTACTTGGGAGGCTGAGGCAGGAGAATTGCTTGAACCCGGGAGGCGGAGGTTGCAATGCGCTGAGATCGTGCCACTGCACTCCAGCCTGGCGCCTGGCAACAGAGGAAGACTCTGTCTCAAAAAAAGAACAAAAAAAATCCAAAACAAACAAAAACTCTACTTTAAATATCCAAAGTATAAAACTATTCATAAAGGTTCTTATGGCAAGGTAAATGGTAGTGAAATGTAAATTCACATAACATGTTCATTGAATCTAAAAGTAGGGGGAAAGTATTCTGCTAGTTGTGCAGACATTAAACTAAAAATTTTCTGGTTGATGTTTCTGAGCACCAAATTTCTAAGATCCAAAGGAACTTTCAAATCACAGTGAAACCTTCTGAGTTGCCTGCATGTGCTTAAGGACCGATGATAAAATGTTCACATTATTATGATAATTATCTGCCAACTTAGTAAAGGATGTTCATCATGTACCGATTTTTCTTACCTGCTAAGTAAAGATATATAATAATTAACTAGTTTTCTAACACTCAACGTCATCTCTGTATACCTCTTGTTGGTCGACACTGACAGGAAATTGAACATTTTTACTTGCTAGGTTCTATTAATTCTGATTTAAACTCTTTTATTTCTGTGTTTCCATTAGTTCAAAATAAAACAAAAAAGTGTTCCTGGCTAGCATATTTGTGATCTGTATATTATAAATGCACTTTTCAGTTTGCTCTAGATTATATACAAAACAGAAGATATAAAATATTATTGTGATGTTTATAGAGCAAATAAAATTTTATGCATCAAAAATAACATATGACTAGAGACTTTATTTTTAATTTTTAAAAAAATTCTGTGAGAAAGTCTTCAGCAAGCAATGCTGCTCTTTTCCTTACAGAGTATATATAGGCCCTTTGTATTTCATAACCATCCATCGTAAAACCTTCACAAACCCATAAAGTTGCCAACTGCAATATAGCATATAATCTACTTTATACAAATTGAATAAATGTAATGTTTCCAGAGCTAGTGCAAAATGCATTAAAAAATAAAGTTGAAATGAGATAGCTATCCTAAGTGTTTTGCCTGACTCATTAGTTAAGTGACGCATTCCTCATCACGTCATAGGTCACTGTTTAAATGTATATTTTTTATGGCATACAACTGTGAAGTTTCTTGAAATCAGTCAAAATCTCAAGCATCAAACTGTGAATGCAAAATGTCTACCATACACAATGAACTATGACACCCACAAAAATTGTTAAATGTTTTTATTTTAACTGGTGTATTCTAAAACAGGCATATTACAGTTACACATTCACAAAATCTCTTTCTTTCTCTTCCTTTTTTTTATTATTTTTTATTTTTCGAGGTGAAGTCTCGCTCACTCTGTTGCCCAGGCTGGAGTACAGTGATGCGATCTCGGCTCATTGCAACCTCTGCCTCCAGGGTTCAAGCGATTCTCCTGCCTCAGACTCCTGAGTAGCTGGGACTACAGGCATGTGCCACCATGCCAGGCTGAATTTTTCCTTTCTTTCTTTCTTTTTTTTTTTTTATTTTATTGGATTTTAGGTTTTGGGGTACATATGAAGGACATGCAAGATTGTTGCATAGGTACACACGTGGCAGTGTGATTTGCTGCCTTCCTCCCCATCACCTATATTTGGCATTTCTCCCCTTGCTATCTCTCCCCAACTCCCCACCCCCTGCTGTCCCTCCCTATTTCCTCCTAACAGACCCCAGTGTGTAGTGCTCCCCACCCTGTGTCCATGTGTTCTCATTGTTCAACACCCGCCTATGAGTGAGAACATGCGGTGTTTGATCTTCTGCCCTTCTGTCAGTTTGCTGAGAATGATGGTTTCCAGGTTCAT